GAAAGAATGGAACCTGTATCCAGGCCTCAGCAGTAGATACTGATTGGCCTTAAGAAGCTGAGCAGTCTGTCTTCGATCTGCTACGCCTAAAGTGGCCAGAGTGGCTTAAACAAGTAGGTTTTTGAGGGCTAGGCGGTGTGTTAGTTGGCTTATTTATTGAGCCATAAAGCAATTCCTTCAGCGTTAGTCAATTAGCGAACCATGTGGGTAGAGGAAGACGGTGCGTCACCATAACATTCTGTCCGTTATCTGTATGCGAATGGAACACGGGTGGATCATCGTACACCACAAACGATGCTTCATAACTCAAATTAAATGCTATGCAATATCGTGACATCCAACTACCTGTGATCAACTACATCAATCAAATAATTCAAATCACCTCTCCGTGCTACCCATGCCATCTATACATCCAACGCACACCTCCCACAGCTCTACAATCAAGTTGGCTTCCGATTACGACACCAATCATTCCTCCCTGCACGGCCTATCTTTAATGAACTTAGGTGTCTGGTAGAATTGTTATCGTGTTCTAAAGTATCGCCAATGAACCCTTACAATGTCTACTGAAAAGCGCTTAGAAATGGCTTTGTCGCTTGGGTGTTGCATCAGGGCGTAAAAGGAGAAGTCAAGAGTGAACTAAGTGACGAGGATGGAAATGAAGGAGTGGAAATGCAAGGAAATGTGACGATTTAAGGAGGGAGGAGAGAAGCGGCAGACGCTACTGCTTGAGTGGAGTAGCGACGCTGGCAGCCACGGGCGAGCGAAGTGTTCAGGCAAGCAGTGTTGATGGACCTCCAGCGCCCCATTCAACTGCTTCAGCCACGACTCCATCTCTGCCTCCCGGTCCGCTTACATGAAGTGACTACAGTCGATTGGGGAGGAAATTGGCAATCGTGAAGCCCCGAACTATGGACTCTGATTCCAGGAAAATGACAGTTGTTTGGGCGCATACTTATTTGCGTGGATGGACTCAGTCCCCTCGGTGTAACCAGGCAGAAACACTAAATGCGGTAACTCGCATGGAGAGAATGCATGACTAACGGCCACATATATGTACTTGTCTCGGATCATGAATTGCGGTAGGGATTGTGGGTGATGACTAGGTTGGTGACAAGACAGTGCACAATGAGCAATTTTCCTTAGATAACGCACAAATAAACAAAAGTAAGGTTTTGTGTCATTGGTCTACTAACTACTTAGGACAATAGAAAGCATTAAATTAGACAGGGGGAAGAAGGTGGTCGAATTGAAGTGGAAGCCCCACCACTATCCCTTACATTTCCTATTTACCAGATCGAATATCAACTGCCTAGCATCAGGCCTTTTAGTCACCAAACAAGATTGTGAAACAGCTTCGCCAGTTCCACCATCATGAACATAACTCCTGCCTGTTACTGTAAGTAGTTAGATTGAATGACATCTCTCCTTGAAGCAATAGTGACTTCTAAGTGGGAGGTGAGAATTCTTGCATTCAGGGCTGTAACCACCCAGTAAGGCATGCCACTGCATCCATAATACCAAAAAACAGATATCACCCCTATATTGTAGGGTGAAGGAGTGCTTTGGCAAGTGAAGAAGGCAGAAGGAGGGTTAATAGGCAAGTTCTGATTTTGGTCCGATATTACTGCACCGTATATTCGTCTACTCATCCAGTTTCAGGCTTTCTCTTTAATAGGGTATTTGATTAATCACTTCACCACTACTAAAACTACAAGAAGTATGCAAATGGCGACTTCCTACTTGGATTAGTTCCTAGCCTGCTTATTTTATCCATTCTAGTCGTTTGCTG